TGTGAAGGACTTAGAGACTAGAGGTGTTCTAATACAGAGTCCTGAAAATGTGTGTGTTGTGAGGGAAGGAAATGAATAATATACTTTTATATGGGTTGCTTTGGCTGGGTGATTATTGATTCGCGGAGCATGGATACACAATATTTTAAAAAGTTTTGACGGATAGAAAATGATTAAAATTTATGATTTATGTTAGGGATAAAAAATAATATAAAATTAAATAATTAATAATTAATTTAAAATATGACAACGTAATATTGTGAAATTATTGAATAATTTCCATAGCTGCTGACAAACACATGATTAATGTCTTTATGTCATGCCCAACACTACGGCAACACCCTTGCTGTGCTGTGCTGTCCAACATTATTGAATAGATATAAATTTAGTTAAATTATATTGACACTTCTTAATATTTATATTTATTACAGTTCTTTTCTTACATTTTAAAAATTATATACCGTTCTTAGATGTTTAAAGTTTCATTATAGATTGTTTTATGAAATTTAAAGTTTCATAACAGTTTCCCCCCTCACCGTAATGATCATCATACATAAAATTAAATTAACAGGGGGTTAGTGTAATTTTTCAAATGTGAGGGACGGAACTGTAATAAACATAAATCTCAGGGGGTGTCAGTGTAATTTACCCAAAAGATTAAAACTTTGATAGAATTTTATATTTATATTTAAAATTATTGTGAACCTGAAAAAATAAATAAATAAATAAAAGAAAAAAGATTGAATGTATATTTAGTTTTGGTTGTGAAAAAAAAAAAAAATGGGGAAATTAGTGGTTACCCATCCCCAACCCATCCCCTGTGGATATTTAAAGAATATCACTTACCCTACCCAATGGATAAGAAAAAGATGGGAAAACCCATGTATTTGGGTTGGGTCTCCATGGATACCCACAGGGTAGGTTATCCATTGCCATCCCTAAGAATCTTTGTTGGACTCTTAAGAAAACAAATATTTGTCATACATACCCTTTTCAATTGTTGACAATGCAGTAGCTTTGTTGGACTCTGGATAAAAAAATAAAAAATAATAAAATAATAAAAAAATATATAAATAAAACTTGGAATGACCACCATTATATAGGAGAAGATCATTGAATAAAGCAATAGCATTCAAGTTGGGTTGTTTTTGTTCAATACTTCAACTACCCATCAACTCCCATTGTAATAGCATTCAAGATTATTGAATATAACAATAGCATTCAAGTGCATTGTCAACAATTTGATATCTACCCATCAACTCACAATGTAATAGCATTTAAGTACAATATTAAAAACATGCTGCATAAACCCAACTTCCATAATAAATAATTCTAAAACAAATAAAATAAAATAAAAGTACAATACACTGAATCAGCAAATGCCATGAAAACATCCATACGAACTAACATATTGAACTACCAAATATTATTCAATATTACTAGTAAATAAAATAACACAAGGACATATCACACTAAGCTTGAACTCTCTGAGACTAACTTTCAAAGATTAAGGACCCAATCCCTCATCCTACTAGCAGGCATAGCAACAAATACCTCCCTTATTATGGGATCTGATGCAAGCTTGTTCACAGCTTTAGTGTAAGCAGGTGCAGGAATTTCCTCCATAGCATGCAATAGTGCCATGCACTCTTTCAGTAGTGAATGTGAGGCAGTAGAGCCACCTTCAATTGAACCACTGTCATCGCCAACATTAGTAACTGAAGCACTTGTCAATCACTTTTCCATTAGGTCCACCTTCCTCTTGATATTTTCACTCATTTCTTTGAGTGCTTCAAAAATATTAGCTTGAAAAGAGCTCCTCTTCTTACTCTTTCTACCTGCCATTTTGCTCTTGCCCTTGCCCTTGCCCTTGCCTTGGCCATCTCCATTGTCATTATCACTATCAATTTGCAATGCATCTAAGTCCTCATTCATTACCTTAAATTCAGGATCAGAACTAGCACTACTTTCAGAAGGTGATTTGGTGGAAGGGTGAGCCAATTTACCAGTTGCGGATGTGTCTCCTAAAATATGAGACAACTCATGGTAGTAAACCATCCCTTTCTTCCTGAACCTCTTTGCATGGCTATTAACCTACAAATCAATGAATTTCAGGTTAACATAAAGAATTCCCCAATTAAATGTAGCAAACAAAATGCAAAAAGTTAATAAAACCTTGTAAAGGGCCTCCCAAACGTCATTTGGTGCAGTGATAATAAGCCATTGGCTATCCCAACCAACACCAGTATGCTTCAGTAATGCTGTAAATTTGTTGAACATAATATGCAGCTAATTGTATTTGTTCCGAAGCTGGTGTGCGTTATACTGGTATTGGGTTTTTGCGTTCATTTGATCTCTCAACCTATTCCAAGCTTATTTAGTGAATGTCCCAATTATTTTACTATTCCTGGTTTTGACCTCCTCATCCATGAGGGTAATGAAAAGAGCCCCAATTGCCTGAGGCAATTGACCACTGTTTCCTCTACCAACTTCAACAACATCATCATTATTAGTGGGGACATCATTGTGTACTATTGTTGCCATTGCCTAAATACCATGGTGTGAAAATAAATCATAAATTTTAATAAGTCTTCAATAATAAATTATAAGAGTAGACATGCATAGCAGTTCTTAATAAAGGAACTAATAGCCTAAATACCATTGTGTATTCTCTATGTGTATGGGTGCTGTGTGTTTAATGTTCATGTTTGATTTTACAAAAATTCAAATTAGCTTCAGTATTTTTATCCATTCACTAAAATCCACTTAATCTAGTGTTTGATAAATTAGCTTCGGGCAACTGGGACATTCAGGCAACTAAATCTAGTGTTTAAATCTAGTATTTTTATTCATTCACTAAAATCCACTAAATCCAAATTAGCTTCATGTAGACCGCCTGAACTCCGCTCCGCGCGCGAGGGCGTGAATTGTAGTTCTAGCTACTACAGTTCGGACTCCTGTCACGATTCTGAATCTAATCTCACAAAGTGCAATGTAAGACTGATAAATCACCAAAGAGTCCAAATCCGGCAAATCGTTTTGAAAAATCGATTTTAATCAAAAAGCGCCAAACATGGACTGCTTTGCCAGATTTCAGAGTCGCCACCTAAATATTTTGTTTTTGAAAAATTTAGGAAACCCTGACTCGTGCCTAAGGCCACGTGTCCGTCATCACCAAAGTTGCCTCGGCTCAGGAACTTGGGTACGAGGGAGGAAGGTCATGAAATGAGCACCCTCGCTCGCCCGATCAAAGGATCGGCCTCTACTCATCATGATATGTTGTTTTTGAAAACACATGTGTTCTTATTCCGATTATTAATCTAGAATTACAATGTGATGCGCACAACATACAAGTATAGACTCAATCACGCGGATTGGAACAAAACAACTCATGTTTATTTTTTGAAAATGGTTTGAAGTTGCTACCCTCAAGTAGGCTAAAATGCGGATTTGCCACCCTCAAGTGGGCTTAAAACATGATGATTTGCCACTTCAAGTGGGCTTAAAACTCACAATCATCGAATTGTTCCAATTCAGGCAATCAAACCTTCATCCACAGGCATTCATGCATTTAAACACATAAGCACATAGCCTCATGGCAAGCATGCTATCATGGCAGTTACTTACACGCATGCAAGGATGCTAAAGCATAAACACTTACAGTATACTCCAAACCAAAGAAAGAAAAACTAGTTAGAAATCAATGCATGATCCTAGCTATGTCAACAATGCCTAATGCAACACATGCAAAATGCAACTAAGTAGGCTCGGCTATCTAAGATGGCATATGAATGCAACACTTGATAACATGCTTTGAAGCACGTATTCAAGTAAGTATTGAAATTCAATGCAGTTTGAATGAGGCGCCGAACCCGGTGCGTGTGAAACAAATGAATGAATGCACTCATGCAAGTATAAGGTATGCTAATTGAAATATGCCCTAATCTAACCACTGAAAGCGGGTAAATAAAAGGGAGAAATACGTGGGGTTGGAAGACATTCACACACACACGCACACTTATTACAACATTGTGCCCTCTCGACGGAGGGTCTGAATGAATAAGCTAAGCTACATCTAAGCTAAGCTAGCTAACTAATCTAATAATTTAATTAGACTAATTATTACACAACTGAAATGAATAATAAGCAATCGACTTACTAATTTTTACATCACTTAACTAATTAAATTACAAATTCATGCTAAGCATTAAAGTATGTGAACTAGGCTACCTCAGCTTTGCCTTGAAGAAGTTGAAGATGCATGCTCGATTCCCGTACCGAAAAGCTCTCCAAATGCTCTTTAGAGGCTCTGTTTGCAGGGTGTCTTCCAATTCTTGTTGGTGAAACTTACCAAAACAATGCTGGGAAGTGCACCAGTGGCCTACCGGCCAAGGATGTGTAGTGCCGACCCCCCTGCCGGCCAATAGTAGGCACTGCCAGCCATGAATGGGAGGGTGTCGGCCATCAGTGATAGGGTGCCGGCCACTGGTGTGCTATGACACCAAGCTGCAATAGAGCACAAAATAGAGAAAATTGAGGGTCTCCCTAGAACATGTATGTACTATGCCCCTCCAAATCATCAGTTGGGTTGTTTGTGTTCAATACTTCAACTGCCCATCAACTCCCATTGTAATAGCATTCAAGATCATTGAATACAGCAGTAGCATTCAAGTGCATTGTCAACAATTTGAGATCTACCCATCAACTCACAATGTAATAGCATTCAAGTACAATATTAGAAACGTATTGCATACATCCAACTTTGTTTCTATAATAAATAATTATAAAAAAAATAATACAATACTCATTATCAGCAAATACCATGAAAACATCCATACGAACTAACATATTGAACTATCAAATATTAGCCAACATTACTAGTAAATAAAACAACACAAAGACATACCACACTAAGCTTGAACTTTCTGAGAATAACTTTCAAAGATTAAGGACCTAATCCCTCATCCTACCAGTAGGCATATCAACAAATACCTCCCTTATTATGGGATATGTGCAAGCTTGTTCACAGCTTTAGTGTAAGCAGGTGCAGGAATTTCCTCCATAGCATGCAATAATGCCATAAACTCTTTCAGTAGTGAACATGAGGCAGTAGAGCCACCTTCAATTGAACCACTGTCATCACCAACATTAGTAACTGAAGCACTTGTCAATCGTTTTTCCATTAGGTCCACTTTCGTCTTGCTATTTTCACTCATTTCTTTAAGTGCTTCAGAAATATTAGCTTGAAAAGAGCTCCTTTTCTTACTCTTTCTATCTGTCATTTTGCTCTTGCCCTTGCACTTTCCCTTGCCCTTGCCTTGGCCATTTCCATTGTCATTATCAGTACCAATTTGCAATGCATCTAAGTCCTCATTATTTACCTTAAATTTAGGATCAAAACTAGCACTACTTTTAGAAGGTGATTTGGTGGAAAGGTGAGCCAAATGACCAATTGTAGATGTGTCTCCTAAGATACGAGACAACTCATGGTAGTAAACCATCCCTTTCTTCCTGAACCTCTTTGCATGGCTATTAACCTACAAACCAATGAATTTCAGGTTGACATGAAGAATTCCCTAATTAAATGTAGCAAACAAAATGCAAAAAGTTAATAAAACCTTGTAATGGGCCTCCCAAACGTCATCTGATGCAGTGATAGTAAGTCGTTGGTTATCCCAACCAACACCGGTATGCTTCAGTAATGCTGTAAATTTGTTGAACATAATATGCAGTTGATTATATTTGTTCTGAAGCTGGTGTGCGTTATACTGGTATTGGATTTTTGCGTTCATTTGATCCCTTAACCTGCTCCAAGCTTGTTTAGTGAATGTCCCATTTAGTTTATTACTCATGGTTTTGACCTCCTCATCCATAAGGGTAGTGAAAAGAGCCTCATTTGCCTGAGGCCATGGACTATCGTTTCCTTTACCAACTTCAACAACATCATCATCATCAATGAGGAGATCATTGTGTACTGTTGTTGCCACTGCCTAAATACCATGGTTTGAAAATAATCCATAAATTTTAATAAGTCTTCAAGAATAAATTCTAAGACTAGACATGTATAACAATTCTTAATAAATGAACTAATGGCTTAAATACCATTGTGTATTCTCTGTGTGTGTGGGTGTTGTGTGTTTATGATTCATGTTTGATTTTACAAAAATTCAAATTAGCTTGAGTATTTTTATTCATTCACTAAAACATGAGCAAGTAATATATATTATGTAGCAGAAGATTGTTCCTATTCAAAATCTCAAATCCTCGATCCATAGCAGAATCAGGTGCAAGTGAAAAATAATTTAACAAAAATGATAAAAACCCCATTAGAAAACATAGATGAGACACAAGTCAGCTCTGTTATCAGACTACATGAGGACCAACATTCAAGCAACAATATCATTTAAATCCACTAAATCTAGTGTTTGATAATTACATTTAGGAACCAAAACAACTAAAACATCTAATGCATGGAAATAGGGGCAAAGTGGTGCTAGAATTACTACAATAATTCACTAGGCAATCCACTCAAGATAGAAGGGACATTCAGCAATCAATCACTAATCATGATGAAACTATAGTAGACTCATGTTGTTTTGAAACAGATTTACCCCACTGAAGATCCAGAAAAAAGGTAGGAAACAAAATAATTGTAATTGCTAATATGCAATTTACCCCACTCAACATCCAAAAATTCAAAGCAAAATGAAGAATCACAATAACAAAAAGCACAAGATTTGTAGATTTAAAATGAAGAATAACAGTATATGTTTTTAAAAAAAAAAAAAAAAAGCAACACAAGCAAATTTACAAGGTGTATACCATATGCTCCTTTTGAGGGCTGTGTATAGTAATACTTTTGGGATGTATATATACCAATATTATCTTTAACAACTAACACTTTTACATCCATAAAGCATGCTTGAATAAACTGTCTAGATAATTAAGTGCAACAAAGATACAATAATCCCATTCTAGCATGAATATTTTCCCAAACTCAAGATTTGCCTAAATCAACTGTGAATCTTGAAATGTTCACATAACACATTGTATAATACATTGATGGTAAAATAAAATTTGTATAGCATCGACCATTATCGTCTATAAAAATTTCAGTTGTAAATGTCCAACAATCTCTATTGACAATTCAAGATCATCTTCCATGTATTCTACCTACTAATAATGATACTAATGCACATATGTAGTTAGGCAAAATAATAACAGCTTAATGAACCATTTATACACCTTAAAATGATATATGCATTGGACCAAAACTTGTGAATTTATCATCATTACAGTGCATGACATATGGACTTGTCAATGTACCTATCTACTTAGCTCTTCTAACTAATTGAAGAAATACCATGAGATATATTAAAAAATAACACCATAGAGACAACATTGTATCTCAATCACAACATTATTTAGTTATACTCTCGTGAAACCTGGTCTTTAGCTTTCTATCATCAAACTTGCCCCCACTTAACTCTTGGAAACACTAGATCTAGCATAGATCTATAACAAATCTACAAACAACCACCAACAATGTTTATACATATAAAAATATAAACAATAATAAAAAAAAAGTGGATATGTTGTTAAAAAAAAAAAAAACAGAAGTTCAAGCTCTCTGTGAAACAGAGAGCGAGAGAGAAGAGAGGCAAGAGAAAGAGAGAAAGCGAGAGAGAGAGAGAGAGAGAGAGAGAGAGAGACTGACCTCAGATCAATTTGGTTTGGAAATTTGCAAAATATCTGTAGATTTGCAACAGATTTTTTGTTTTAGAAAGAAAAAAAAAACCATGAAGCTCGATGAAACACAGAGAATAGAGGAGAGAGACCTGAGATCGATTTGGTTGGAAGATCTACAGATTTGCAACATTAGTAATGTTTTAGAGGAAAAAAAAATGGAAGCTCGGTGAAACACAGAGAATAGAGGGGGGAGAGAGAGAGAGAGACAAAAGAGGGGAGAGAGAGAAGAGAGAGATTGACCTGATCTTCAAGATTCATTCAACATGAGCAAAGGAAGAAGATAAGGTTAGATGCAAGTTTTATTACCGTTAGAGAAAATAAATTGAATTGTGGTGCTCTGAAGATTTGAACTGTTGTCGTTATGCCCACTTTTCATTTACTGTAGCTCTGCTACAACGGCTTCCGCTACAGTGACTTCCGTTTTTCTGTTTATAAACCAGTGAAGACACATCTTTTCAGTTTACATTTTTTTGGTCAAATTTACAAACTGAGTAAAATTATTATAAACCAAAAAATTTACCAAACAAGCTTTTATGATAGTTTTTAAAATTTTTATAAATATAAACTAAAAAATAAAAACAAAATGGTTACCAAACAAGGCCTAAGAATTCATTTTATTATTCAAGTTTTCAAAATAACAGTATACAAATTGTGCTTCAATGGTTCTAGAAGATATATGATTCTAGAGTGTTGATTTTCAATGGCTTTTAGCCCCTCAAAACATGAGAATAGCATTTGTTTGCAAAATTCTATTTATGCTTGAAACAGGTCCAAGGGTCGACACCAAAATAGCAAGGGTCGACACCAGAGTGAAGCTCAAAATGTCTAAGTGTTCCAGAAGCAAGGGAGATTTGCAACATTAGTAATGTTTTAGAGAAAAAAAAATGGAAGCTCGGTGAAACACAGAGAATAGAGGGGAGAGAGAGAGAGACAAAAGAGGGGAGAGAGAGAAGAGAGAGATTGACCTGATCTTCAAGATTTATTCAACATGAGCAAAGGAAGAAGATAAGGTTAGATACAAGTTTTATTGCCGTTAGAGAAAATAAATTGAATTGTGGTGCTCCGAAGATTTGAACTGTTGTCGTTATGCCCACTTTTCATTTACTATAGCTCTGCTACAATGGCTTCTGCTACAGTGACTTCCGTTTTTCTATTTATAAACCAGTGAAAACACATCTTTTCAGTTTACATTTTTTTGGTCAAATTTACAAACTGAGTAAAATTATTATAAACCAAAAAAAATTTACCAAACAAGCTTTTATGATAGTTTTTAAAATTTTTGTAAATATAAACTGAAAAATAAAAACAAAATGGTTACCAAACAAGGCCTAAGAATTCATTTTATTATTCAAGTTTTCAAAATAACAGTATACAAATTGTGCTTCAATGGTTCTAGAAGATATATGATTCTAGAGTGTTGATTTTCAATGGCTTTTAGCCCCTCAAAACATGAGAATAGCATTTGTTTGCAAAATTCTATTTATGCTTGAAACAGGTCCAAGGGTCGACACCAAAATAGCAAGGGTCGACACCAGAGTGAAGCTCAAAATGTCTAAGTGTTCCAGAAGCAAGGGTCGACACTAAATTTCAGAATGCAATCTAGTAGCAAGGGTCGACACCAAGAATGATAAGGATCGACACTAGGAACACCTGGAACTAAACTCAGACAGAGAAGAAGAGCAAAGGGTCGACACCAAAAATAGCAAAGGTCGACACTAAATTTTAAAATGCAATCCAGCAACAAGGGTCGTAACCAAGAATGATAAAGGTCAACACCAGAAACACCTGGAACTAAACTCAGAGAAGAGAATAAGAGCAAAAGGTCAAAACCCAATTTGTAGGGGTCAACACCCGTAAAATCTGAATTTCAAAAATCCAAATGCCAAATCAGATATAGATTGACAAACCTCTTTTCTCAGCCACTTTTTCAGATTTATGTGCAGAATATGTCATCTTTTCTTACCCCAGAGCTGATCTTCTGCCACCATATCTTCTTCCATGAAGTTGACTTATAAGAATGAGCATTAAATAAAAGCTTGTGCATTTAATAAACCTTCTCTTCCTAAGACCTGCCTACAGTCTGCCTTCTCCATACTCTGAGCAAACATAGCTGGAAGATATCTTCCATGATTCTCTCAAACGGCTAGAAGATTCAAATCTCCTCTCTCCAACAGCTAGAAGCCATTAATGCTATAAAGATGAAGCTCTCCTTGTTCCATCAATACACTTCTTCAATACAACAAACCTAGAGCATTCAAGAGTAATCAAGAGCTTTTAATATACTCCATTGTACTTCCATTTTTACATCTGAGTGAGTCTTAAATTACCTGTGAGCTTACACTTTCATATCCATCTTTTGCGAGAAAATATTTGTAAAAGAGGACAGTTGTACCTCTTTCTCATGCTCCTTATTTTCTGAGTGAAACACTTATAAAGTGAGGCATTTAGTTGGGAGGTCCTCAACAGATTGAAGTAAGTCCTTTCTAAAAATCCACAAAGCATTGATTCTTAGTGAAGAAATTCTCAAAGAGGTCTCTTGAGGAGTGGACGTAGGCCAGTGAGCCGAACCACTATATATCTTTGTGTTAGGCTCTTCTTTCCTTTCCTTTTATTTTATGTGTACTTATTAATTGTCTACTGCATTTAATCACTTAGTCTTTGAAATCTATTTTCTTGTTAATTTTTTAATTACCTAATTCACCCCCCCTCTTGGGTTGCTTTCCTGTATAACAATTGGTATCAAAGCCAAGTTTCTAGTATTGTGACTTAACCGTCTTAGAGTGATCCATGGAAACCCCTAGCTCCTCTCTTCTTGAAGGTCAAGCCTCAAACCGACCACCCTTCTTCAATGGCACAAATTTCAACTATTGAAAAACTCGGATCATTATGCATATCCAATCTATCAACTATGAAGTTCAGAAAATCATATGTGATGGTCCTAAAGTCCCCACCAAAACCATAGATGGCCTATTAGTTCCCAAACTTGAGAGTGAGTGGACTAGTGCTGATTATAAAGATATTCAATCCAATGCCAAAGCTGTTAATATGTTGTATTGTGCACTTGATGCTACTAAGTTCAACAAAATATGCACTTGTACAATGGTGAAAGAAATTTGGGATAAACTTATTGTAACTCATGAGGGAACCACTCAAGTCAAAAAGTCTAGAATGAGTTTGCTTGTTCATAACTATGAGCTTTTCAAGATGAAACTTGATGAGAACATATCCCAAATGTTCACTCGCTTTATAGATATTATAAACAGTCTTAAATCTCTTGGAAAGACTTATACTAATGCAGAAATTGTTAGAAAAGCCCTCCGTTCATTGCCAAAAAGCTAGGAGAACAAAGTTATTACAGTGATAGAAGCAAGAGACTTGTTAACATTAAGTCTTGATGAGTTAGTGGGATCTCTCCTAACTCACGAGATCATTATGCAAGAAAGAAAAGAAGAAGAAGACAAGAATAAGAAGAAAGGGATAGCCCTCAAGTCTACCTCAAAATCTCAAGAGAAAGAAGAAGATGCTTCGAAGGAAGATGAAGAAATGGCTTTCATTACCAAAAGGTTCAAAAAATTTGTGAAGAAGAAACAAGGTGTAAGGAAGTTCTTCAGAAAAGACTTCAACAAATATTTTCAAAAAGGAGAAAGCCAAAAAAATCTTAAGTTACTTGCTACAAATGCAACAAGCCGGGACACTACAAATCGAAATGTCCAAAGCTCAAAAAACAATTCAAGAAAGACAAAAAGAAAGCCACGATCTCAGCATGGGGAGAAGACAGTGATGACAACGACTCAAAGACTGATATTTGCAAAAATGAATTTGCAAATCTATGCTTGATGACACTTGAAGATAAAAATGAGGTAAATGATGGCTCTTTTACCTTTGGTGAATTACAAATTGCTTTTGATGAATTACATGTTGAATTTAAAAAATGAAGTATGAAAATGAAGTCTTGACTTCTAAGATCAATACTTTAGAAAATGAAAATGATCTCAAGTTTATCTCAAGAAAAGGAATCCTTGAATTCTAAGATCAATACTTTAGAAAATGAAGTCTTGACAATGGAAAAGGAGAAAGAATTTTCAAATGAAAAAGAATCTTTCATTTTGGAAAAGAAAGTAGATGATTTGCAAAAAGAAAATGAAACTTTGGAAAATGAGAAAATTTTTTTAAATGAAAATATAGAAGATTTAAAAAATATTCTTTCAAAATTTACTCAAGGTAGAGGTACCTTTGATAAAATTCTCAAAAGTCAAAATCAAACCTTTAAAAGAATGGGAATTAGATATAAACCTTTTTCAAAAGCAAAAAATTCTAAAAAGATTTTTGTTCATGCATCATCTAATCATTCTCCTCTCACATGTCATTATTGTGGAAGAAAAGGCCACGTCTCTCCTTCATGTCCTGCTAAGAGAAACTCATTTGTTAGAATGAAAAAGAAGTGGGTTCCCAAAAATACTTCAACTCCTAACTCTCATGGACCCAAGAAAGAATGGATACCAAAAGGCCAACAAAAATCTGATTTTTGCAGGTGTGCTTTAGGTCAAAATCCAACAACAACCGGTGGTACCTTGATAGTGTGTGCTCAAGGCACATGACCGGCGATAGAGCAATGTTCTCAACCCTTAAATCCAAAGAAGGAGGTCACATAACCTTCAAAGACAATAGTAAGGAAAAGATCATCAGCGAAGGTAGTATTGATAAAACTTCTTCACCCATCATCGAAAATTTGTTGCTTGTTGAAGGATTGAAACATAACTTGCTTAGTATTAGTCAAATGTGTGATAAAGGCAATCATGTTACTTTTGAAAGTTCCCATTGCACCATTAAAAATTCTGCTGATAATTGTTATGAAAATGTGTATATATTTGATTTGCATAGTTTATCTCCTAATCATGATATTAAGTACTTATCTGCTATAAATGAATCTAGCTGGATGTGGCATAGAAGGCTAGGACATGATCATATGGACTTGCTTTCAAAACTTTCAAAACTTGACTTGGTTGTTGGTTTACCAAAAATCGATTTTGAAAAAGATAGACTTTGTGATGCTTGTCAACAAGGAAAACAAACAAGAGTTTCTTTCAAATCCAAAAATATTATTTCCACTTCTAGGCCTCTTCAATTGTTGCATATTGACTTGTTTGGACCTTCTAGAATTTTAAGTCTTGGAGTTAAATCTTATTGTCTTGTTTGTGTGGATGATTATACTAGATTCACTTGGGTGATTTTCTTGGCACACAAAATTGATACTTTTTCTGCATTTTCAGCTCTTTGTAAACGTATTCAAAATATACCTTGCTTGGTTATCATTTTTCAAAAACACTTTTCAGAAAATTCTACTTTCTTATTTTTCGTGTTTTTTTGTTTTTACTGATTTTTAAAAATATTTTAAGCAATTTTTTTAATTTTTAGACATACTTAACATAAATATACCTAAAAAGTAAAAAAAAATTTGAAAAAAACCTTTTAAAAATTCACTAAATACCAAAAACACAAAAAAAAATACGAGAATTCAGTACATTTTTTTATATTTTTATGTATTTATTAATTTTTAAAAATATTTTTTCACAAATTTTTTACTTTTTGGATACATCTAAGTAATGTGCATCTAAAAAAGTAAAAAAAAAATGTTTAAAATTTTAAAAATATTCACTAAAAACAAAAAAACAAAATCAAAAAACTCAATTTTCAAAAAACTTAATCCAAAAAACTCAAAATAAACACACTGATTAGTCTTGCTATTTGTAGCATTAGAAGTGATCATGGTAGAGAATTTGATAATGATGAGTTTATTCTATTTTGTAATGAGCATGGCATTGATCATAATTTTTCTACTCCTCGAACTCCTTAACAAAATGGTGTGGTAGAAAGAAAAAATAGAGTTCTTAAGGAAATGGCTTGGACTATGCTTTGTGAAAATAATTTGCCAAGATATTTTTGGGCGAAAGCCGTCAACACTGCTTGTTATGTTATTAATCGTGCCCTGATTAGACCCATACTTAAGAAAATGCCATATGAATTGTTGAAAGGAAGAAAACCCAACATTGGTCATTTTTGTGCATTTGGTTGTAAATGTTTTGTACTTAATAACAATAAAGAAAATCTTGGGAAATTTGATGCAAAATCCGATGAAGTCGTGTTTCTTGGCTATGCAAATTTTTGTAAAGCTTATCGTGTCTTTAATAAAAGAACTTTACTCATTGAAGAATCTACACATGTTGTTTTTGATGAATCCAACTCCTTTGCTTCCAATAAAATTGTTAGTGATTCAAATCCAAGAATTGAAGGCAATTACTTATCGAAAAATGATGAACTTCATTCTTCGGAACCAATGTTGAAGTCTCTATGGAAGATCTTCAAAAAGAGTTTGCTCATCTAGCAAAGGAAAATAATCTACCCAAAGAATGGAAGTATGCTCATGGACATCCCAAAGATCTCATCATAGGAGATGCCACACAAGGTGTAAGAACTCATTCTTCTATTCATAATGTTTGTGGCAATTTAGCTTTTGTTTCTCAAATTGAGCAAAAAACTTTTTCTGAGGCTGAACACGATGAAAACTAGATTTTTGCTATGCAAGAAAAGCTAAATCAGTTTAAAAGAAATGAAGTTTGGTTTTTAACTTCTCGTCCTAAGAATCATTCAGTCATTGGAAGAAAATGGCTTTTTCGAAACAAAATGGATGAATCCGGTTGTTATTCAAAGCAAAGCTAGACTTGTAGCCCAAGGTTATAACCAAGAAGGCGTCATTGATTTTGATGAAACTCTTGCACTCGTTGCATGTCTCGAAACCATTCGTATGCTGCTCGCATTTGCTTGTTTTAGAAATTTTAAACTTTACCAAATGGATGTGAAAAGTGCTTTTCTAAATGGGTATATTTCGGAGGAAGTGTATGTTGAACAACCTCTTGGTTTTGAAAATCACAAACACCCAAACCATGTTTATAAACTTTCAAAAGCTTTGTATGGTTTGAAACAAGCCTCTAGAGCTTGGTAT